TTGATGGTAGGACTGACTTCTTGGGCACCGGGCTCAGCACTGCCGGGCTGCTCTGGCACCTCGGCCTCCTCTGCCTCTGAATCAGTGTCATCCTCTCCATCTTCAAGTCCCTCCTCGGCCTCCGCTTGCAGAGCGCTGAATACGTCGTTCGCGTAAGGCACAAGGTAGACCGGTAGCGAAGCTGGAGGAGGGTTGGCAAATACGTCGGTGCCGGAGCCTTGGCCGAGGTGTTCGCATGCAGACTTCCAGCCTGCTTTGAAGTAGATGTCTTGCGTTGCAAAGACCTGCTTCTTGTAGCTCTCCTCGGCCTCGTTGAAGCCAGCGGTGTTTGCAGCCCGGTAAGCTTTCTTCTTCGACTTCTTCAGAGTATCCACCTCGGCTTGGAGCTCATCTCGTTTTTTCTCGGCCGCATCAAGCTGGCCGAGCAGTCTGTTATTGTCGGAGTTGGCCATTTCAAGCGAAGACTTAGCTCGGCCGAGCTCGGCTTGAAGGCTTTCAACCTGGCTGGCAGTGTCGTTGGCTTTTTGCCTAAGCCGGTGGATGCGCTCCAAAACCAAGTGTTGTTTTTGAATGGCCTGCACAAAGAAGCAAAACTGATCAGAAAGGGGACCGAGCAGAAAGGGAACCGAGCAAACACTTGTGAAATTTTTAAAAGGAACATCGACTTACCCTGGCCATAGACTTCACTGACGACTTGACCAACCGAGTGTCGGGAACGTGGTCGCTGCCGACCACGTCGCTCGGTAGTAGCAGAGCTTTTGACAGATCAAAGGCGAGCAGATGCTCTTTGTCACCCTTGATCGAAGCCGTCGCCGGGATATCTTGGCCCCGGTGCTTCAAATGTGGGCGCCATGCGGTGCCCCTTTTCATCATAGAAGGTGCATCGGGACCTTTCGTCATAGTCCTTCTGTGCTTTTCCTAACTTAGCTGGCCATCTGACGAAAGGTTCATCGCGTATCTCACTAATAATTTGGTAAATCGGTTTTTTGAACACTGTTGTGATGGTAGTGCGGACTCTTAACTATCTTTTGTCTGAGTCCTCTCTATTGGCTCGCCTGCCTCGCCCATTCCTATTGGGGTGTTCTACCGTATTGACTTTTGCCGCAGTCTTTTTATCTGGTATCGCTGTTGTGCCAGATTTTGTTTTAGCACGGGCACCATCCTCCACCACCCGAATATGCTGGTGCACTCGCTTCATCAAGGCCTCCATCACGAAGGGTGGCGCTATAGTTATTGAATCCCTTAACTTGTTTCCGACTGGTAGCCCCATTTTGTACTGCGCGATGGCAATATTGGTGGGGCAATCTCCTATACGGTTGAAGGTCTCCCAGTAACGACTGTTGTAGGATCTCAGCGTCTCCTTGTCATCCATATCAATGGAGAGTAGCAGATCGATCTCCACTGGTGTTTTGGTGTTCGTTCTGAACCTAGTCACGAACGCCTCGGCCAATTGCGCCCAGGAGGCGATGCTGCCTTCTGGTAGCCTTTCGAACCAGGTTAAGCCTAGGTCGCCAAGGCTGGATGGGAATAGAATGCACATCAAAGCCTCGTTCCGCCGGTATACTGTCATAACCTGGCAAAAGTGGCTTAGGTACATGTAGGGATCTGTCTTCCCTTCGTAAATCGTAAACTTAGGCTGGAGGAAGCCAGAAGGTAACGGCGCATTCTCAATTGCCGGAACAAATGGCGAGCTATGCAACCTTGCTAATGCTTTGTCCGTTGGTTCGTAGGCAAGGCGCGGTATTGACATTCCTACCTTGACGCTCCCATGCGTCCGAGGGGCCAACCGCTGAAGGGCTCAAACTCTGCGCGGGTCGCGTGCCCTGACATCCTCCTTCCATCGTGCCCTTTCTTCAAGCACAGTTCACAAATCAGACAATCTAGGCAACTTCGTCTGCCTGGATGACGTCTGGTGCGTGCGTGAGGGCCGATAGGTGCTTCCTTCAGTATATGACCTCTCAGTTCTCGTTCTCTTAGACCTAGAGTAATGAGTCCTGGACGTCTTTGTTTGAGTGTCGCCTGTTCTAAGGCTCCTACTCTCTGCTTGTGAGGGCGTGGTGTGTCCTCCACAACCTTCTGAGTAGCTAGGGGGCGTACTGCCTTTGCGCCCCTCTCCTGTCGCCACCTCTTTTCCTTTTATCTGGCGTTTCATCAACTCCATGTCCGCCGCTATCCTTCATATCAACTCGTCTTGTTCCTTCACGCGATCCTCCAGAACCTGAGGGTCGATCCCCCGCCTCTGTCTTTCGGGGCTTTGAGAGTGACGGGGGCTGTTAGCCCACCTCTCCTTTGCATCCCTCCGGGGGTTCTGTCGCGGGGGTTCTAAATCCGCCATTAGAGGGACAAGAGGCAAACCTTCGTGCCTCCCACCCCCCTCAAAGGTTTACCCATCAATGGCTGATTGCGGTAAATCTTCATTGTGCGCCATTGATCTCGACTAGAGAAGAAAGCTTGATCAAGAGGTTTTGTTCTTTGTGGAATTCCCACAGGCGGCGCCAATTGTACGAGCGTGAAATAATTCTTCTCGTATGATCCTGTTGATCAAGCTTGCGCTCCTCGAAACGTCGTCGCTTTGCCATTTGAGAACACAAACGTGAGCTAATCGGCGAGTATGTGCCAGAAACCCCTTTGATGCCTAAGTCAGCACAATAGACAATAGACACAAAAACTCTGTGAATTCAAGAATCAAAGTTGTGTTGCCTCTCCATAGGTGATCTTATGAGCTTTTATAGGTTCCGCGTGGCACAATTCTAGTAGAACTCTTACTCCTCCATGTAGAGTCCTCTTAGGAATTACACTCCTGAAAGATAATGCTTATCCTTCACCACCCCCTCTCACTACTTAGACCAAGTGAGATGGTTTTACCACGGTTGGATGTCAATATGACCGAGCTAACATGGCCATGCTGAAGCTGCAGACTAGACCGAACTCCAACTAGCTCGGTTCTTCCTTTCACTGCGTGTACCTCGGTTTGACATATTCCAACCGGGCTGTTTCCTTAATACCGAGCTAACCAAGTACGAAGTAGGAGTTAGCTCGACGCTCAAGCCCACAATGCCAAGCTAGCTCGGCTCTCCCAAGCACAATGCCTAACTAGCTCGGCCCATACGCTTAGTCTTTTAGACCGAAGTAAATCTGCTTTTACTTTGGTCCATCCTGCACCCCAATTAACAAAGAAGTCTCCTACTTAGCTCGGCCCAATATAGACATAAATTTCCCTCTCAATTTATATAATAGTAGTAGTAGTAGATATTATTATTTTGGTAAAATATTGACCTTTTTTCTTTTAGAATGTTTATATATATTGTAGATATAATTATATAATCAAAGTTTTAATTGTAACTTTACTCTCATATGCAAGTATGAATTTATAAATTTTTTGGCTCGCTAAGACTCGTGAACAGGCTCAAGCTCGAGCTTGAGTCAACCCTAAGCCAACTCAGTTCGAGCTCGAATTCGTTAAAATCTTAATAAATAAGGCCAAACATACTAAAAATTGGCTCGGCTCAGCTCGGCTCGTTTGCAATCTTATTTATCAACTATCCACTTTTATGGATGGATGTGCCTTTTATTTTGTTTTTCATAAGAGAAATACTATTTATCATTTTTAAGTAAATTAATGTAATAAAAAATGGAGAAAATTAGTTATAAATCCAATTTAGAGGGTGTCTAAGGCATTAGGTCTAGTGTATTATTATTTTTTTATTGGTGAGAGGTTAACCTTTTATGAAATAGTTTGGTGAGAGTGTTTTTACTCGTTTTGAAAGACATTTTGTTTTTAATTTTACCCCTTAATTTATGGGAAAATTATTTATAAGTCCTATTAGAGAGACTTATGCTACAAATGGTCCTACTAAAAAACTTATGTTCCCACAAGCCCTGTGGGAAGTTTGTTGACACATTTACCCTAAATATTAGTTGTTAATATCATAAATAAAAGTAAAACCATATATAAGAAATTGAATGTTACCATAGATCATATCTATATAAATGCAACGTAACGTAACACCTATATAAACGTAACGTGACACCTACATAAACGTAACGTAACACCTATGATCTATGGTAACATGCAATTTCCTATATAGAAAATTGCATGTTATCATAGATCATATCTACATAAACGTAACGTAATGTGACACCTACATAAACATAACGTGACACCTATGATCTACAGGAAATTGAATAGGAAATTGATTGTCACCATAAATCATATCTACATAAACGTAACGTAACGTGACACCTACATAAACGTAATGTGACACCTATGATCTATGGCCACATTCAATTTCCTAATTGAATGTTGCCATAGATCATATTTATATGAAACGTAATGTGACACCAACATAAACCAGCAACATTTTCACATTCAATTTAAAAAAATAAAAACTCATTAAGTTTGCGAAACATAATGTGACACGTTACGTTACGTTTATGTAGGTGTCACGTTATGTTACGTTTATATAGGTGTCACGTTACGTTACGTTTATGTGGGTGTCACGTTACGTTACGTTTATGTAAGTGTCATGTCACGTTACGTTTATGTAGGATCTTGTGAAATACATTCCTATCTAAATAGGACTTGAAACTCTATAAGAAATTACACAGGATTTAACCTACTATAAGTGTCTGAAAAAGGACTTATAAATAAGTCTCTATTGACTTTTTTTATTTGTTTACTTTTTTTGACTATCTGTTCAAATTATTTATCTATCCGTTCAAACTTTTTGACTATTTGTTCAAATATTTTTTTATCTGTTGAATTTTTATACCTATTTTTTTTTTGTCGATTCAAATTCATACCATTTTTATACTTTCTCTCTCTATCCGTTTATCTTTCTCCTCTTTTCACTTTCTCTCTCTCTCTCTCACTCATTGTTTCTCCATATCTGTTAAAATTTCCCACCACCAACAGTCAAATATTATCCAGCACATAAATAAATATATTTTGTCCAATTTTTTTTTATCTGCTGAAAAAATCTCTATTCAATATGGACAGATCAAAACCTTTTATCTATACAATAACAATAACAACAACCACCGTTCTTTGAAATCTCACCGTTCTTCAAATACCGATTCAGAAAGTCTTCATCTACAAGCTTCCTTCGACGACTTGATCCATCTACAACCTCAACATCAAAAACCCCATCTTCAAACACTGACAATTCATCATCATTTTCCCTCTCGATCACCTCTTCCAAGCTCTCACCTCCAATCGACATCCTAATCTTCTTTGGATGCATTTGAACCCTCCATCTTTCACATATCGGGCTCCTCAACGTCATACTATAAAAACACCTAAATCACTTCCTTCCGCCTCTGGCGCCGGTAACTACCGATTTCAAAGATTTGAGAACGTCGATCTGGTGAGTGAAGCCGTTGTCGAAGTTGTCGTTGCAGGATCGTATGGTGACGGTAGGGTTTAGAGACCATGACAAGTAGAAGTAGAGGTAGAGAAAGAGTAAGTTGAAAGTGAAGAGACAGAGGATGAGTTTGAGCCTCCTTCTGTTCATATTATTCACTACCGAAATCAAAATAGTGAAGATTTGCAGATCAGAGAGAGAGAGAGAGTTCAATTACAAGAACTTGAGGAACCTCAGATGTAGGGCCGGCCCTGAGATTTAGGGGGCCCAAGGTTAATTTCGAAAATGGGGCCCTCTTACATTGAAAAAAAAAATTATAGATAAAACAATAAGTTACAACTTTTTTATTTGTTTGTAGCCACAAAAAAATTTACTTGCATGTATAATCATTAAAATTATAAATAAAAATTTACTTTCATTTATTAAGATATGAAGTAATCATTACAAATACTTAAAAAAATAAAAATCTAGTCTTGTTGCTTTTTTTTGAGCTCCATATTCAATTGGGCTTTTTTTTTTATTCTATTTTTTAATTTTTTTAATATCTAAAACACAAAATTATATTTGGAGCCCTATTTTCAACCCAAATTTAGGGGCCCGAGGCGCAGGCCTCTCTTGCCTGCCCTCAGGGCCGGCCCTGCTCAGATACGGAAATAACAACCTAGGGTTAGGGTTTGGTGTCTCTGGATTAGCCTTTATATATATATATATAGAGAGAGAGAGAGAGAGAGCAACCGAAGGGATTTCGTCGTTGGATTTAGGTTTCGAGAAGAGAGACGATGGAGGGGCAAGAATCGGAGATCTTGTTGTGGCGGAAGGAGTGGCTGAGGACAACAACAACTTGGCAGAGGTTGTCGATGATTGTATGCTGGCGGTGGGTGTGTTGGTGGTGGTGAGGTCAGAGAAGGGGAGAGAGAGAGATGGGTCTGAAATAAATGAATTTGTGATTTAGAAAGAGTTTTGATTTTAAATAAAGGGGTAGTTTAGTCATTGTATAAAAATATGTACTTATGGACCTAATAATTTTGTGTTTGGACTTTTGAACAAAACGAATTGGGATTTGGATTGTTGGATAAAACGCCCTAAATAATATGTATGCATAACCTTATCATATTTTTAGAATTAGTAGAAATTATTGTCATAAATGACAATTATGAATATATGATATGATCATTTGATCAAAAAAAATATATAAAAAAAATGATATGATCATAATTAACTTTTGCAATCGATATATTTTTCTCTTTCTTCTGCTTCTATTTGTGTGTGTGCATTTCTAAGGAAATTTCTATTCTAATTTGATATAGTTTCCTCTCACTCTCTCTTGATCTTATCCTAATGTCAAATTTAAGAAACTGTTTAGCAATTGTTTAGCTGAGTAATTTGGATTCGTAAGCATATCCTTTTTATCCTATAGGTGTCTTAATTAGAAGAATGTGTCAGTGTAGGGGTGAGCAGCAGATATACTGATCCGTCAAAACTGACCGAATTGAACCGATCCGCTGCATTTTGAACGGATGCGTGATGACGAGCAGACGGTTGCGGATTGATTTTCTCCAATCCGCCAATCTGGCAGACGGATGGCGGATTTGAGATTCCTTTGGCCATAACGAACCGCCAAACCGCGAACACCCCTAGTAATTTATAAGACTTTGTGTTTTCAATTTGTTTAAATATTCTATTTGTGTTTTCAATTAAAAAAGAATTTAAATATTCTGTTGAAAAAAAGTTTTCAACTTTAAATATTTTTTTGAATTGAAAAAAATAAACGTATTATTTATCTATATTTTTTTGTTTTTAAATCTATTTCTAAAAATAATAAATAGAAAATATGATATATGCTGGTTGATTTTTGTTTTCAAAAACAGATATAGATGTAACAATACAGAGACATAAAATCTCTACTATTGCTCTGTTCATGGTTTTGGTGATTTGAATTGTTTTTATATTTTAAGAACCACAGATTATAATACTTTATGTGGATGAGGCATGCTGTGATTGTAATATGTGGATGAGGCATGCAGTGATTGTGATATTCTAAAATTTCAAACTTTCTTGCTTTGGATGAGGCATGCAATGATTGTAATATTTTTTTAAGTCATTGACTGTAGTACTTTCTTCTTTTTTTTTTTAGGAAGTGCACAAGTTGAATTATGTTGAAAATTTATAAATTTTAAACCGCCAAACCGATTCGCATCCATCCGCCAAACCGTCAATTCACTCAATCCACATCCGCCGGATTGGCAGATGGATGCGGATTGATTTTCTCCAATCCGCCAATCTGGCGGATGGATGGCGGATTGGAGGTTTCATGGCCGCAACCGACCCGCGCCCACCTCTATGTCAGTATGTTTCGAGTATTGATTTTGTATATTTGTTTCTTCTAATTTTAAATGACAATTGTGTTGAGCAATGGATAGATAAATGCTCCAAATGTTCCTCTTAGATTAGTCACTCGGATGGAGACAGTAAAATCAGTCCCATGAATCACTTCTTACCATGGGTAATTGCTCTCACTGTCCATTTTTAAATATGGTGAAAAATGGGGTGATTGGGCAGTAGTATGCTGCTATAAACATAGTAAGTCACTAACTGAGAGCCCTCATGTTGTACAACTTTTGGTGAATATGATTTCCATCTTGACAGAACCTAACAAAAGTGTATTTACAAACCACATTCAAAACCATTTAGTAAATTTTAGCTACATACTTCAAACAAAAACATAAAATAAGATGATTGATTACATTAGATATCAAATTATGTGGCAACACTGTGTAGGCATAGAGCATTTACGTTTGCACGACAGAGCTTCCATTTCGATGAATACACTTGAAAAAGAATTCTGTTTTTGGGGCAAATGCCAAACCTAACTTGTGAATGATATGCGAAATGGAATGCACAAAGCAATTCACTATTTTGGTTTTAATTTTCTAGATTTTTTTTTAAAAAAATTGAGTTTTTTGTTTTTTATGTCTTTTTATATTTCGTGAATATTCTTAAAATATTAAACAATTTTTTTTTTATTTTTTATATATTTTTTTAGATGCACCTTACTTAGATATATGTAAAAAGTAAAATATTTTCAAAAATTAATAAATATACAAGAATACAAAAATGTACTGAATTCTTGTATTTTTTTAACATATTTTTGGTATTTAATGATTTTTTTTAAAAAAAAATTCACAAATATTATACTTTTTAAGTATATTTTATATTAAGTGTATCTAAAAATTAAAAAAAATTTGCTTTAAATATTAAAAAAAATTAGTGAAAATAAAAAAATACGGAAAACAAAAAGAGAAAATTTGTGATAAATACAATTTGAGGAGGGTGTAAGGCAATAGGTCTAGTAAATATTTTTTATTGGTGAGAAGTCCACGTTTTGTGAAATAGTTTGATGAGAAGTCTTAGAAGACATTTTGTTTCCAATTTTACCCTTTGACTGGTTTTTATCTGTCTAACTTTTCATAGACTATCTGTTCAATTTTCGCTTATTTGTTCAAATTTGCTCCTAAATTCTATCCAGTTGTTCAATTTTTTCTATCTATCCAAATTTTATCTGTGTAAATTTTCTATCTGTCCAAACTTTATTTGTCCAATTTTTTATTTTTTCAAAATATATATGTTCAATATTTTTATCCATACAAATTTTCTATCCAAATTTTATCTATACAAAATTTTCATATATGTACAAATTTTGTAGAATAATCAAACCAAACTTTCTCTATCCGTCTCTCTATTTGTTGTATATTTGTGTGCTTGTATTTAATCATCATCATACCATACAATACAACCTCATATGTATATACACACATAAAATGAAGACTATTGAAAATAAAAATAAAGAATACCCTCCTACATACATAGATACACACACACACACACACACATATATATACACATATTGCCATGGCTATTACCAAAGCTAAAAACAAATAACTTAATATTTGTATCACCAAAAAAACAATAGATCTCTAATAAGTTACACCTACAATAAAGAGAGATTGCTAGTCTGATGTTTTCTGACCATGAAGCCCTTAATTAAAGAAGTTCATGACTAAACCTCCAATTCACACACACACACACACACACACACACACACACATATATAAACACAAATATATGATATATACACATCTTTGATATTCATAAAACAACAATCAAGGTATGTACACACACATATATAGAGAAAGAGAAAGGGGAGAGAGAGATATAAGAAATGGAGCACCGCAATGGTGTCTCGATTCAGAGTGAAGTGGCGGACAGAGGTGACAGATCTGGCGAATTAGTCAGAAATGACTGCGATCTAAGCGATGGATCTTGATCACCGATTGAGTCACTCCTCACCATCGCAATTTCATTCTTTCATCCTCGGTTCACCAGAGTCAGCAATAAACCTCCAAGAAATTGAAGTGAGGGTGAAACCTGAAAAGGCCTCGGTTAGGGTTTTGATCTCACTGTCGGCGGCGGTAGTAAACGCAGATCGAAGGCGGTGTATCTAAATCTGCACCAAAGGTAGTGGTACGGATGGAGGGAGGGAGAGAGAGAGAACCGCAAGCACAACCATTGTTATTACTGTTCTCCACCATCATCGCCGTAACCTTATTCATCTTCAGCTTCCGTTAGGGTTTTAAGGGAGATTGAGGAGAGAGAAGATGGAGAGAGAGAGAGAGAGAGAGAGAGAGAGAGATGTGGATGTTTGGAAAGTTACTATTTTAGTAGGCTATTTTAGTTTTTATGTGGGTGTTTGGAAAGTTACTATTTTAGTAGGCTATTTTAGTTTTTAGCTATTTTAGTAGGCTAAAATTTTTGTATTTGGGAAGATGATTGGATTTTTTTGTAGTTAGATGTGATGTTTGTGAGAGAAAAAGTGAAATGATTATAGATTTAATGTGACATTTTGTCTTATTAGCCATTTTAGTCTATTTTGTCTTTTTGTGAATTTTAGCTTAAACCAAGGTAAAATTTTTCTTGCCAAACACCCCCATACGTGTTTGGAAAATGAGGTTGATACAATTTATATATGTGGGTATTTTTGTCATTTCATCTAGGGTTGTCCTTATGGACAAAGTATTTTGAAGTCTGGATCTGTGGACAAAGAAAATCTAAAATTGAATTTATGGACCAAGTGCCTAACAAAAAATTTTAAT